CCAAAAAGCGTGATTATTTTTCTTTTCGACTTTACAGTCTGGATCGGTCTCACTTCGTGAATCTGCATTATCTAACATCATTAAAGAGGCCGACCCGAGTTCGGTTAATGGTGAAAATAATTAGTGAGCTTTCTCGTTTTTAATTGTCACTTTGGAAGAATATAATAGGAATGTCTCTTAAAAGTGGTGCTCTTCAAAGTTCAAACGACCTTTTATTTAAAATATGACGTAAAAGAGTTGAAACGTTTGGACCAAACTTCCATGTCACCTGTGTGGGTAGTCCCGTATATACATTTCTGTGCGCAATATATGTGACTTACTTTCCTAACGATTTCCCAATTTCTTGATTTTAAAACCTCGCAGTTTACAACAGCTATTATGTACTATTGAATTATCTGTCACTATGTAATTACACGACCAGGGCCCCGTCTTATAAACAATTGCGATTAATCGCAATTATGTACATACAAGATAGAGGGCTACAAACTTGTGATTGATTGGAGGACTGTATATGGATCAATCGCAGCTCTTTATAAGACGGACCCAGAACTTAACTGTATCTTTAAACGGAAATTCCAACGCGTCGCACAACTATAAATTCTCTTCTGACAACGCATTCAAATCAGTTCAACTCCAAATCACGTATTTTTCTATTCTTTAGAAGTTTTATTCTCTCCCTTCGAAGATAACAATAAGTAATGGAAGACATACAAAAAATGTACACGTCAATAAGTTTATCATCTATCATAGAAATATATATACAGACAAATACATCAACGTTTATCAAGGAGATGGTTAGAGTTAAAGGCAGATAATCTTATAATCACATAATAAACATGATAACAATCTAATGTAAATGGTGCGATAAGAGAACAGTGGTATAAAATAGAGCTGGTGAATCGTGATTCCCCGCCCTAACTTGGTAGAGAACTAGAAAGCGTGTGCTTATATTTATTATCATCATCATCACTTATATCCCAGGCACACCAACGAGACCGATACCAGAGCGTCACCAGAGCGACACCGGAGCGACACAGGAGCGTCACCTTAGCGACACCGGAGCGACACCGGAACGACACCCGAGCGACAACAGACCGAATAGAAGATTGCATTACCCCCCGGAAAGGATAAGACTCATTTGGTCACTGTCGTTGTGGAATCGTTATGGAGTCGCGATGGCGGTGTGACGGAGGTATCACCGATCGCTGGTGCATTGCCCGTTTTTCTTATGTGCTAAACTCTTTATCATAGTAGCCAACGTAAAGCATGAATCAATATTTTACCAGGTAATGCCATATAGTGCTTTAACACAATCCCAACGACTATTCTGAGAACGTCTGGGACAAGATGCCGTTAGAATGTTCGGTGAGTGGACAGACGATTATCTAGGTCATTGCCCGGTATGAACAAATATATTAAATAAAGACAAGTTTGTTCGTACTTTCAAAAAAATGGAATACATATTGTAAAGGCGTCTGCGAATGCTGTTAAAAATGAGTTAAGGCACAATATTATTATTTCATTTCTTTGGTTATTCTTGTGTGTTAAACAAAAATCATGGTCAAATAAATCTTGGTTTATCGAGAAGTAGAAAATTCAATGAGCAACATATCTCGCACGTTCTATGACTATTTGCACAACGGAATAAAAATCAACATAATTTACCCTGACTTATCAAAGCCATTAGTCATAATTATACAAAATCAAAGTATGACACAAATATCAAAGAATATTCTAATTTTGTAATCTGTACATAATATAATTCGTGATGTAAGCTGCATGGAAAGATAATTTTGAAGTCGATTTGAAAGAAGTTCACATAATGTTAGACATCATTACACGGAGTATAAAACACAACTAAGCCGAGTGATAGTTCGTTCATACTTTCAGTACTTTATCACCTTAATTCCGACCTGTAAGACACAATTTCATAAGTTGCGAGAAATCCTCCAAAAAGGTGAATCTAATGTTTCACTTTGTATTGTATACAGTTTAAATCACATCGTCTGTAAGCTCTTTTGTTATCGAGTAGATGTGTTTATATCCACACGGAGAAGCAAAATGCGGACCTAGTGGAAGACGTCCCATGTCGCAACAAGATCACTTCTAGAAATTATGGCACGAGTCGCCTTCCATATTAAATCCCACTGCAAAATCCGGATAACACATCCCCTATGAACAAACACGTACCCGATATTGTCAATCATTCTATGAAAATCATACTACGAAAGCAGAAGAAAGATCTTTGTCAGAATTGTACACATTTAAATCAACAAGAATATAATTTCATTGAAAAGAAAGAGAAAGAGAAGTATAAAAGCGATGTACACTTATAGATACAGCACATATTTGTACGTTGTCAACAGTGAACACACTTGTCTTTCATATAGCATACACACATCTGTAATAAAGTTTTCTCTTTTAAAAAAGAAAGAGTAATTGAATATGGCCTACTCATGTTGACAGCGAAAATAGATTCAAGCCTGGCTTGCTCCTCAATATCAGAAAAAGAAAAAAAATGAAATAAATTATTGTCATCAGTTTGTTGGATCAAACCGAGTAGGCGTTTTCCCTAGAGACTCAAGTCAAAGAAGATATACCCCTTATCCTCTAATACCTCATAGAGATGACCTTTTCTGCGCTCGTGTGACCTTCAGCATAAAAACTCGAGATACTAACATAATTTTCAAGTTTTGCTCTCTTTTTCTTTCGATATTGACATTTTGTTGGGTATGTTTTCACGGTGCTAAGACAACTGCTGGTATACAAGCAATTAAACTGTTTTTGAGCAAATTCCATAGGTCAATCTGTGACGTCAATATTTGTTGGTTTTATACATTGATAACGAATATAATGGGGATAATAGTGATGTGTATGGAAACCCATTCCACTGCGTTGTTTCATTGCATCAGAAGTTCAATATGAAAAGTTTGTTTGTCTGTAAAATATCTTCATATATTTCCAAGTGAAATATATATATTTCTATAATATAAATCTATTATTCTTTTAAGAAGGCACGGCGAGGGATGAAATATGAAAAGTAATAAATACAAAGATATTAATTTACAAAAAGATTTTCAAGAATATCTACAAGTTTGTATAAAGAAAATGTTGAACGTTGTCACTCATTGAAACATTAACATGTACTTGTTTCATTTTACGCATTTTTAAAGCACAAACGTATAGTTGTCAGACCGTCTACAACAGAATAACATGAAAAGACCAAACCACTAAAATTTTGTTTTTTTTTTCTTGGAAAGACGATTCTAAAAGCTTTGAGGAAAAAAAATTGCATTCACATCTTTACATTCCATTCGATGAGATTATAAAAGAACACAACAAATAACTGTTTCAAATTCTATAAAATAATTTCAACAGATAGGTCTATAAAGCATTTTCTTGATATTTCTCAGTTCACGCACAACCCCTTCTCTTTAAAAAAAACCCAAGGAGGATTAAAATAAAATAAAAACACATTTTTAAGCATGATCATTAGCATCATGTTGTGAACCCGTGGAGAAAGGATGCCACGAACGCCGAACCTAACCAAATCAGCACTTCGACTTTAAACGATTCCAGCATTCGGTAATGCAATACTCCCCCTTGGACTTAAAGAACACCAACAGGTGAGGTATAGGTAGGATCGGTAGAGAGAGAGAGAGGGGTAATAGCGTGCCCCCTTCCAGACTCTACCGACACACACACACACACCTGTCCGCAAGCACCCCGGTCTTGCCTCGAGCAATTTCCTCGGAGGTGTTTACCCCCGGCGCAATAACTGCTGAAGTTTTTACTCTATCAGCTTTACACAGCTCAGTAATGGGGGAGGAAGTAACTGAATGATGTCGACTGGAATTATACGTCACTTTCCGAACCAAAAGATGAATTTTTTTCTTTATAAAATTGTAAATTATTACAGGAGGTTCATTTGAGATATGATATTTCATGAGAGGAAATATGTAGTACGGTCGGTAACCGTCTTTTCGAGATACGGAATAAATTCAATGCATATACATGTTTTGGATTCAATATTGCAGTCGAGTATAGCCACGTGAAAATCTTATGCGATAACTAGACGAACTGGATTTATTCGCTATATTGGTGAGATGCAAAAATAAAAGAAGACACCTATAGTTCGTATTTTCAGCACACAGCCTTCAAGAAATGGCGAAAGAGAAAGATAAGCAGAAGATTAGGAGAGGGAGAGAGAGAGGGGGCAAGAGGGAGAGAGAGGGAGGGGAAGAGAGAAGAGAGAGATAGAGGGAGGGAGAGGGTGAGGGGAAGAGAGGGAGGGGAGAGATAGATGGAGAGAGAGGGGGAGAGAGAGGGGAGAGAGAGAGGGGGAGAGAGAGAGAGACAGAGAGAGAATAGAAGAGAAGAGAGAGGATAGAGAGGCTCACAATATATAAATAAAGAAATACGTAGATGGATAGACAAATTAACAATGACTATTTCTTGATCTGCCGTTTCCGATATAGACAGGATATGTCAAATATAATAAGGAAAATACATAATATACATTTACTATCTACTTCTACACGTTGCCAATCTAAGACAGATTTGGTCAAGGTTCATAGTTGTTCTTTATTTTTTTCTCCACTTTTGCTACATACTTCTTTTATGACGTCATTGTCATCTGACTAGCATGGTAATATTGTCATCACCCAAACATAGTTGGTTTCGTGGTTAATGTCTCGTTGCCATTATGTCACCTTCTATGGGCAGACCAAACAACGCTAAAACTTCCCAACGTTCACTATTGTCTCAAACTTTACTCCGACGTCGGCGTTGTTTGCAACGTTCCTTTCGCGTCATTGTTCTTAATTTGTTTAACGTTCTCCCTCTCACCGTCTCTCCTTCTCTCTTGCTGTGTCTCTCCCTCTTACACTTGTATACAATGCTGTCATCGTCTCTGCCGATTGCGATTTTATTTCACACGCGAGAAAAAGCATGACGACGTCACAAACGTTGTCGTCGTTGCATCGTCTCAATCCACAAAAGTAGGCGGACTAACAACATACGTGTCCAGTGTTGATTAAAAAAACGTTTCTCAAACGTCGTCGATAGCATTATTAGAGTTCAACCAGCATGACGTCAGACGCGTCAGGCGTCGCCGTTAGAGATGCTGCGTTACCGCCGTTTGCGACGCGTCATTTCGCTGGTGATTCATCTTGTCCTGGTGTCGCTTCATGTGCAGTGACAGGTGGTCTGACCGTGAGAAGCAGCGCTCGCAGACCTTGCACTTGAATGGCTTTGCCCCCGTGTGCTTGCGGAAATGTCTCGTGAGCTCGTCGGACCGGGCAAAACGCCACTGGCACGAGTTCCACGTACACCTGCAGAAAAAAAAGAAAAGAAAAGGAAAGAAAAGAAAAACAAAACGGGGAGTGAGCTCATTGTCTAACATTTCATTTCATTTCATTTCCACATTTATCACTTTCAAGTTTCAACATGTGTTTTGACAAAATAAATTTGTTTTTAAAGAATTCAACCTACTTGCAAGTGCAAGAATGAACAACTTCAATGATATTTATAATTAAAATACTCGGCACTACTCCTGTAAACTATGGTCTCTCTTCAAAATAGCTAACAAAGAATGGTCATGGGCTAGATATGAATCAGGATGGAGTGAAAAGATTCGATTGGGAATCATGGAGATATGCTCTAGATATCCGAACCAAATTTACTTCTACAACTCGTAAGCCGCGCGTCCATATAAATCCCTATCCCATGGTTCACCCCGTTTACCTCTATTCATCGGGCTCTAACTAAACCTCTGTCGTTTAACATCTGTAATGCTACGGTTTAGCTTTTAAATGAGCCTTTCATTGTAGGTTTAAATGACAAATGATACCGTTTAGAAAACGAGGATTTACCTCGGCATAACATGGAGCCATCAAAATCTGTTCTATTTTTGTTTAAACAACCTCGATCAAAAAGCACATACGACAATGTCCTGAATTCAGCCTAGCCAACCATGCCAACTTGCCCACATATTTTCTCCTCTATTTATTTTCCATTCTTCACATGAATTGAATACACCCCTAAGTTCTTTCAAGGGCAATTCAAAAGTTTGCATTGATTATAACACAATGATTAGGTGATAAAGTACATAGATAATTAAACAAGTTCGGCTCTCCACGGAATATAGAACAAAAGGAGCAAACTGATTCAGGAGTCAGTTCTGGATGTACTAGTATTTGTTTTGAGTATTGTTATGGTAACGATTTAAAAAAAGAAAGAGACTGGCTTAAAGTCTTTCTGAGTCGTACGTCATCCCCTGATGGGTCACCTTGCATAACAGTTACGTTTTAAAGCAACTCAAATGTATAACTGAATGCAAGGTTAAAATACTCATTTAATACCGATTGGTTGAAAATAAAGTTGCGCTGGATTTTTTAGTTCCTTTTAAGAGCATCTTGAGTGGAATAATTTGTTTGGACCAGAAAAACTTACGAAAATGACCTGAAAAATCAATTAACCTAAAAATGATTTAAAAACAAATGCAAATATGCAACTATGAAGACTATGTAGTCTAATGGTAGGGAAAACTGGCGCTAAATTCGGGGAAATAATATTATTAAGGAGCACCAGGAGTGTCTAATCTGACAGACATGAGCGCTATACAAGAACCCACTAGTATTATTCTTATTAGATGTATCACGTATGTTCTTGTTTATTAACCATTACGCAGCTTAGGCAGCTAGCATACATTTCTACCAATAACATCTGATAGATATCGTTGACATTTGTTAAAGAACATTCAGGGTATTAGTTCTAGTCTGATTATCATTTCAAAGGTACACGTCTGCATTTAATGAAGCAAAAAAGCAGACACAAGAGAAACCGACATCCATAGCAGTTATGAATTTTTCAGTGTGGAAGTCATGAACAGAATAACAGAACTTTTTTTGTAACCCATTGACTAGGTGGGGGCGAATGTCCACAATCGTTCAACCGTTGATTAATGTGCCAAGCAAATATTTCCCATGCCGGTGGCTTAGAGTATGTTGTTTTTATCGGTCTCAATAAAAGGTGCCTGCCACTCTCATGACAATAGACTACTTTTTGTTTTGAATGAGTAATAACCTGATTTATTGCGTAATAACTTCTACGAAAAAAAAGAGCCAATGGCTTCAGACCATAACTGTATGCATGTTCATTTTGGTATAATAATATTCGGTTCTTGTATAGCGCATATCACATTATATAACGTCTCTATGCGCTTCCAAAGAGCTTGGAAATTATTACCCTAGCTTTAGCTCCGGCAGCCGTAATCAGCGCACAGTGCATTTTAAGGAATAATCCTACCGGGTACCCATTTACCTCACCTGGGTCGAGTGTGGCAAATGTAGATGAATATCTTGCCAAAGGACATTAATGCCGCGGCGGGAATCGAACCGCGGACCTTGTGATCCACGGTCCGGTGACATATCCACACGGCTACAACACCTCCATATGCGCATACAGGTTTATACAGATATAAGTATATATATATGTTTCTCATATTATATATAATATATATATATATTCCAGGTCAAGGAAGTGTGTCAATCATATATATAATCATTATATTTCGAGTGAAACTTAGTAGATAGAAGAAATGTACTATTGAGGAATGTATCACGCTCGCACAAATGTATCTACACAGGGGTACACTAATCGTAAAAGAATCATGATTTTTTAAAACGATTTCACGCGGCTTATACCAGTACAAAAACAGTTGAGCTTTCTATGAACGTGACTGTGAACGAATGTGCACACCATGAATTATCAATTACTACCGTCTACTGACTTTCAAAATCATTTTTCCCCTTCATTTTCTTTCTTTCAAAACAGGAAGTCAATTTTTGTAGAGCGTTCTCTTTAAACAAAAATCCCTGGATTTGCATGACTTAAGGTGACCTAGATATACCTTCATTGAACTTGAAGTATGCCCCATTGTTTTTCCCGATCCAAATCTAATTCCTTGTTTTGACTGCCTCGGTGGATGGCCATGAACAAATGAAGGTATTTTTTTTTACAATTAGTATCGTCAGTGCGTTGCCATGGAGACATTAGAGATTAAGCCATTACACACGCTCTTCGCGTTATCTTAATTACAAATCTTTTTTGTTGTAATACATTCGGTAAAAATGCATTTTACTAATTAATGCTAACGAATTTATCATCTATATTGATGTGAACCATTTTATTTTGGCGTGCAATCCAAACTATAACATAATTTTTGTTTAATCGTATAAAATCTTTATATTCCCTTAATAAAAAATACGCAATCAATGGATCCCATATCGTTATTCGTGATTGGTTAATTAGTTCTGACGTAACACAAATCCGTCACTTTAGTAGGGACCTATATATTCCTATGAAATTACTAAATATTCATATTTCGTTTTTGTAAACTTCATTCAAAATCAAAAGATGTTTGTAATAACTTTTTTTTTTTTTTTGGTGGGGGGGGGGGGGGGGGGGTCAGATGAGGGACGAATGAGCACGATCGTGATTTTCTGTTGATGGCATAGTCGCACATAAGCATGATAAATGAGATATTAAGGCCGCCATCAACCTAGGCGAATATACTTGCTTTGGTGGCATCAACTTAAATGCAAAAGCAACAAGAACGAGAACGAATTTAATCTTTAAAAAATGATTTTGATTTAGATTGTCTGGCATTAATGTTATCATATTTTTGTCTACTGCTGGCGTTCATGTTTGTACGCTTGGCCGACGTCCCGAAACATTACTCTAATGTATGTCCTCACAAAGCGCGACTGTACACATTATTTGGCCGTTCTACTTTGTGTATATTCATTGACTGCGGTACCCGTGACCGACAGTGAAAAACAACTTCTGTGATAAAAGTAGCTATTGCTTAACGAAAATGGTGAACATCCACGAAGATACACTATGGAAAGATAATCATTATTCAATAATACAATGAATGGCACATATCTGCCTCAGTGGACGCATTTTCATTGAGATACAGACAGCATGGCCTGCTGACGATACAAGGATCATGAAAATATGTTGGTACTTCATTGGAAATAAGCTATTCACTGAGGCAAAGGGAGCCCCGGAACGCCTTCGACGAAAATGTGTTGGAGGGAGGGGGAGGAGGGAGGGGGAGGAGGGAGGGGGAGGAGGGAGGGGGAGGAGGGAGGCTGAGCCTTTTGTATGAATGTGCACCATCTCCATATCTTCCAACCTGACACTCACCTGTATGGTTTCTCCCCTGTATGGATGCGTTGATGGGCCTTTAAATGTGAGCTCTTCGTGTAAACCTTCGTGCAACCTGTACAGAATAAAAAAGGGGAATATCAATAAAAATGGATTTAATATTATTCGAAGTCATGATTAATGCTAGTAAAGAACCAGCTAATAAAAGTGCATTATGTCTTAGTCCGCAATAATAGCTGCGAGTGGGGGCGGACGTGTTTCTGCTGAGCTCCCTTGTTTCTCATATTTTTTCCGTTTTGGCGTTTGTTTCTATGCAGTGATTGGTACTAAAGTGATGATCTGGACGCGTACAAGCCATTTCCAGGATGAGTCTTTTGATTTAGCTTTTTGATTTTCATATATTTGGTGATTTAGTGATCAAATTTTGGTTTTTTGATAGTGAAGGAAGTCAAAATTGCAGTTGTTTTTGCTGCGCGTAGTGCTAAACACCTGTTGTCAGTGACAACATATTGCGCACTCTGTTATTTATTTTATTACTTCTTTGTTTTTAATTGCGCATATACACCTGCGCCAGCGCCTTTCATTTGAAGTACGCGCAGAGGAATTATCCTCATTACAATATGAACATTTTATGTTACTATTAATATGAAATAATATGAATAATAAATAAATAAATGAATGAATATTAATAATAATAATAATAAATAATTATATTACTGGATTTGTAAAGATATATATATTACGCTTTGTACTGATATGTGCGTTGGGTGTGTTTGAGTGCTGATAATATTATTATAGTTCACAATTTGGTGTTTATTCAATTATTGTTTTTATATTTTCCTGTTTTAATTTTACGTGATTAACTTAATCATAATTTGTTCTTGAATCGATTGGGTGAGTGGTACATACGCGGTATTATTTTATTTTACTTTTTAGGCTCTGTATAAGCTTGGCTTGTTAGAGCTCTTGTGAGTAGTGTGCCGCGGGGTTTCATATCCTTAAACTGCTGGCGAACAGAGCAACAAGACCAAGCTTTGTAATTGTTAGGTTTCTCCAATGGTAGGTTTGTCCAATAATGCCGAGTTTGTGCCACGGAACTTAGTCGGACATTTCGATTATATTCTTCTTTTTTTTTGTCATACGTCTTTATATTCTTTTTTATTTTTTATTTTTTTTTATTTTTTATAGTTTAGTCTACCTTAATTGCTGATACCTCCTCAAAATATATACGATAGACTATCATTAATTCTGCTGCATTACCATATAGCTTACTTAGAGGTTACTGCAGATCAAATCAATTGATTCATAATATATTATAATCAGTTACTCAATTTATTATTCAAATTAGTTTGATATCGTAAGGTAATTCGATCTGCCCTTAATCTCCTTAATATTCTTGCACTTATTTCGAGAAAAAAAATCTTTGTTTCTCTGCTATAATCAGTGTTTTTATCACAGCACTGAATAGATATAATCAATAAAGTAAGGTAATATTTTGTTGGTTCAATTAGTACTCTTATCATAAGAGTAATTGTAATCGCCTCATTCTTTTAATAATTGTTAATTGGTTTTTGCCATGCTTAGTTGTAACCACTGCCCTGTGGTTCAGGTTCTCTTTAGAATCTAACTAAGGCTAAGGGAGCAAACCCTAACAGAAAACCATGCCACCGTGACAGCATTGAGGGCGATTGACGATACGGAACTCCCGACATCCTTCGACCAGTCACTGCAGGGTCTAGTGGTTCACACCCGTCCTGGTTTGTCCTCGCCGGTGTGAAACTGCCACCAGTTCCCCGAGAGAGTGCCGGTAGTAACTTGCAAGAGCTACCGGTACTTATCCACCTTTGCAAGCAGCCTTCATTATGCGCAACAGTATGAAACTTCATACCGGTTCGGTCGTCTTCCGGGTTAACAAGGACCGCGCTGTTAGATCAGGACTTCCGTCGACAGTGCCAAGTATGCTAGGAAGCAAACAACAACAACAAAAAGATGACACCAGCGGAATTACTACAATGACGTTTGGACAGTGGAATGTCAGGACACTCCTCGATCGGGAAGGAACTGGCAGGCCAGAGAGAAGGACTGCCCTTGTAGCCATGGAGCTGGAGAAGTACAAAATTGACATTGCTGCTCTGAGTGAAACACGTTTCTCCGAGTCAGGTAGGCTCGATGACATGGGCTACACATTCTTCTGGAGCGGCAAGCCGGACGGGGTACGACGAGAGGCTGGAGTGGGATTCGCCATCAGAAAAGAGATCTTAGCGAAGCTCACAGAAATGCCTAAAGCGGTGAATGATAGAATTATGACAATGACAGTACCACTGATGAAGAAGGGAAATGCTACTCTCATCAGTGTATACGCACCAACCATGACGAGTCCGGATGAAACAAAGGAGAACTTCTACAATCAGCTTAGACGAACGTTGCGGGACACCCCCCGGACTGACAAGCTGATATTGATGGGAGACTTCAATGCCCGGGTAGGACGAGACTATGAGAAATGGCGGTCGGTGTTAGGCAGGCACGGAATCGGTAAATGCAACACCAATGGTGAGCTACTTCTAGCTCTGTGCTCTGAGTTCGAACTCCTACTGACAAACACCGTGTTCAAGCAGAGGGAAGAACACAAAACCACCTGGATGCACCCTCGCTCTAAGCATTGGCACCTGATTGATTACATCATAACAAGACAACGAGACAGAATGGATGTTCACAGCACAAGAACTATGCGTGGAGCTAACTGCTTGACCGATCACCAGCTACTAAGATCAAAGATTGCATTTGCTTTACGTTCAAAGCGTAGGAAGCAAGGAGCTACTAAACTTGCAAAGCTGAACACAGACCGGCTACACGTCAACACACAACGGCTAAAGCTAGAGCAAGATATGGAGAAAGCTCTGGCGACTTGGGGAGTGCAAGAGGGAATGACAGTTGATCAGACCTGGGCATCACTCAGCAAAGTAGTATATGACACAGCGAGCAACACCCTCGGTAAACCAGAGCGAAAACACCAGGACTGGTTTGACCCAGAAGACTCCGAGCTTCTGATACTCATGAAGAAAAGGAATGAAACACACCAACGTGTATTACAGACTAGAAGCACCAGGTCAACCACCACCGCGTACAAGGAAGCCTGCAGACACTTGCAGAGGTACACACGGAAAATGAAAACCACCTGGTGGGAGAAAAAGGCAGAGGACCTGCAGCGCTCCGCAGACAATAATGACATGAAGTCCTTCTACACTGGACTGAAAGAAGTCTGGGGCCCCCAGACTAGGAGTACAGTTCATCTCAAGTCCCTGGACGGTAACACAACCTTTTCAGACAACAAAAGGGTGCTTGAACGATGGTCGCAGCATTTTGAGACACTACTCAACCAGCCAGGAGATATCGAGCCTGCAGCGCGTGATAGGATCAACCAGCGACCTGTAGTTACTGCACTCGATGATATTCCAACACGAAAAGAGCTAAACCTGGCAATTGCCTCCTTGGGTGATGGCAAGGCACCAGGAGTGGATGGGATACCAAGCGAGATATGGAAGCACGGAGGAGCCACACTAACCAACAGTTTACTAATGCTGATACAACAAGCATGGGCAGAAGGCTCCGTACCTCAGGAATGGAAGGATGCTAATATTGTCGCCATCTTCAAAAAAGGAGATAGAACTCAATGTGGAAACTACAGAGGAATATCGCTATTGTCAATAGCAGGGAAAGTTTTTGCCAGGATCCTTCTGAACAGATTAAATACCCACATAGCACCAGATATATTGCCGGAGACGCAATGCGGATTTAGGAACAACCGCAGCACAGTAGATATGATCTTCTGCCTCAGACAACTACAGGAGAAGTGCATTGAGCACAACCGATCCCTCTATGTGGTTTTTGTCGATTTCACGAAAGCCTTTGACACTGTTGGTAGGACAGGTCTTTGGGAACTACTACGAAAGTATGGATGTCCCGAGAAGTTCACCGGAATGGTAGAGTCCTTACATACGGGTATGATGGCTAAAGTCAAGGAAGCAGGCGAAACATCCCATAGCTTCCCTGTAAGTAACGGTGTAAAACAAGGATGTGTGTTGGCCCCTACGCTGTTCTCCATCTTTCTCTCGGCGATGCTGGAGGAGGCCTTTGCGGACTTTGAGGAAGGCGTTTACATACAATCACGTCAAGACGCCGACCTATTCAATGTCGCACACTTCAAAGCTAAGACGAAGTCTACACAGATTCTCGTGAGGGAACTCCTCTTTGCAGATGACAGTGCTCTTGTTTCTCATACACCAGAGCAGATGCAACATGTTATAGATGTATTTTCATCAGCATCAAAGAAGTTCGGTCTACAAATAAACATCAAAAAGACTGAAGTACTATTCCAACCAGGTACAGACCACCGAGAGGAGGAGGAGATCCTAGTGGATGGGACAGCCCTAAACCAGGTAGATGACTTCACTTATCTCGGCAGCACTATATCCAAAGACGGACGCATCGACTCTGAGCTGGTGAAAAGAATGTCAAAGGCCAGCAGTGCCTTTGGAAGACTGCGAACCAGGCTATGGAACAACCATCATGTCTCAACAAGAGTGAAGTGCAAAATCTACAGGGCTATCGTCCTATCCACTCTCTTATACGGTGCGGAAAGCTGGACTCTCTACAAAAGTCAAGTAAAGAAACTTCACGCGTTCATGATGAGACACCTTCGAGCAATCATGAGAATCAGTTGGAAGGACAAGGTGACCAACAAAGAGGTACTAGAGCGAGCAAACCTTCCTTCTATGGAGGACCTGCTCATCAGGAAGAACCTACGATGGACAGGCCATGTCATCAGGATGCCCTCTGAGAGGTTACCAAAGCAAGTACTATTCTCGCAACTACCCGCTGGCGAAAGAGGGATTGGTCGTCCACGGCTTCGCTACAAGGACACGATCAAGAGGAACCTTAAGCGGAGGCAAATTGAAACCAAGACTTGGACAACTGCTGCAGGCCAGCGAGCTGTATGGAGAACAGCTGTAAAGTGAAAATGAAGGCGGTCATTGTCGCTTCGCGACAGACAGCTACTACTACTACTATGTCTTAGTCCGAATTACCCGGTGTGCAGGCACGCCTTTTCAGTCGCTG